GGTGAAAATTTAGGAGGGAGAAGAAACATGTGTGTGCACTTTTCACAAAGCTCAAGCGTTCGAAACCAACTCGAACGTCGTAAAAAGAAAGGCTAAAAGCTGGAGCCAACAAGCAACCATGACAGCTCGTAAACAACCAAACAAACAACCCAAAACATGGTTAGCCATTGGCATATAAGATAGAGCCTTAAACCACAATAAACCTCCATTCTCTTTTCCCCTCTTCTTCTTCACTTAAAAGAAGTTATTAAATATTACCCAAAAGAAATAAAAGAAGAGAGAGAGAGAGAGAGAAGTATTTCACATCATCACACTATAAAAAGCTTCAACTTCTATTGCACCACTTTTCACTACATCTCCAACAAAGTCCAATCCAATGGACCCACCGCCACCACTTCCACCCCTCCCCACTCCCACTCCCACATCCACAACTCCCCCCACCACTGCCACCGCCTCCTCCGCCGCCGCCGCCGCATCCTCGGTTCAGCTTAACTACCCGGAATCGATCGACTCCTCTCCCCGCTCCCGCAATGCTGATGCCTGGACCGACGAGCCTCTACCGCCCGTCCCGGGCGCTAAGCTCCGCTTGATGTGCAGCTACGGTGGGCATATCATCCCCCGCCCGCATGACAAGTCCCTCTGCTACGTTGGTGGCGACACCCGGATTGTTGTCGTCGACCGCCATTCCTCTCTTTCTGACCTTTGCACCCGCCTTTCCCGTACCCTCCTCAATGGCCGTCCCTTTACTCTTAAATACCAGCTGCCGAGCGAAGACCTCGACTCGCTGATATCTGTCACCGCTGACGAAGATCTCGAAAACATGCTAGAGGAATACGACCGCACGGCGGCGAGCTCGCCTCTCAAGCCTTCTCGGCTGAGACTCTTTCTCTTCTTCGTTAAGCCTGAAACTGCTGCTTCAATGGGGGCTTTGCTTGACGACGCCAAGTCTGAAACGTGGTTCGTCGACGCGCTTAACGGGTTAGGATTTCTCCCGAGAGGGCTATCCGATTCCGCGGTGGACGACTGCTTGTTGAGCCTCGAAGCAGTCCGCGCCAGCGACTCGTGTAATGACTTGGAAGCTCAAGGAAACTCGTTGGGGGAAAACAACAAACAGGTGGTGGACAAGAGTAACAGCACGCATGATGTTGTGCAATACCCCTATTCGATGTCCGACTCGCCTTTTGTGGAGAACACTTCGTCTTTCTGGTCGTCTTCTTCGTCGCCATCGATGTCGAATTTGCCGCCGATTCGGGTGAGGGTCGATGAGCAGAAGATGGTTGGGATCGATGAACAGTTTGCGCAGATAAGCTTTGCTCCTCCGCCTTCTGCAGTTAATCCTGTGGTTTCTGTTAATGCTCCGGTTAATAATCCTGTCGTTGTTTCGGGGGAAAACGTGAGTAGTAAGGTTTTGTCTGATGATGAGAGATCGGATCACGGCGGGGGGGGGGGCG